TAATTTGTTACTACTGAGTTTGCTCAGATAAGAGGTTGGTGCTGTCAGATTTGGGTAGTTGCATTTGCTGTAGTGTCTCTGCCCTCCCCTGAATATTTACTCTAATGTCCATGTTTTGTCTCTTGTCTACTGATATTAAATTCATCACTGTCTTTTGACATCTGATGTTCCCCAATTAAGGCAACACTTTTGACTAAAATTGCAGCTCTTGCAATTTGAAAATTGCACTGTTTTAAATTGCGATTTGGATATAAAAATGCTTAATCTTTCAGCCCTACATAAGAGGTTAATGCATTTACTGTGGCTCTTGATGGAAAAGTACTCAAATTTGCATTGTGTGCTGTTTGGCTGTAGTCTTGTAGAATCAGAATCAGAATCTTTAGATTCAGAAGCTTTATTGGCCAGGTTTGCTTACACATACAAGGAATTTGGTTTTGGTTACAGGAGCTCACAGAGCACAGTATCAGACTGACATTCACATGTAGTAAATAAAATAAAATAAAATGAGATAAAATAAAACATGCATTCCTACCATCACTCAGTCACACACACACACACACACACACACACAGTCATAGCTGTAAACCTTACATTGTGTAAAGTATGTGTCTTAAGTTAAAGTGCTGAGTGCAGCAGCAGTTAAAGAGTGTGTAGTGGCAAAGAAAGGGATCAGTGAGGTAACAGTCAGATAAGTGGGGTAATAAGGCCTGTAAGTGGGGTAACAGTCAGATAAGTGGGGTAATAAGGCCTGTAAGTGGGGTAACAGTCAGATAAGTGGGGTAATAAGGAAGGTGAGTGGGGTAACAATCAGATAAGTGGGGTAATAAGGCAGGTTAGTGGGATAATAAGGCAGGTAAGTGGGGTAACAGTCAGATAAGTGGGGTTACAAGGCAGGTAAGTAGGGTAACAAGGCAGGTAAATGGGGGAATAGTCAGATAAATGGGGTAATAAGGCCTGTAAGTGGGGTAACAGTCAGGTAAGTGGGGTAATAAGACAGTTAAGCGAGGTGCTAGAGGAAACACTGGTCTGAGACGGTAGTTTCAGAGGATGGAGTTGAGTGTGATAATATATACCAATATATTTAGAAGTGCAGTTTAGAAGCTGGAATATTGTTTATATGTAATAATTGACTGTTTAAGAGAGTGATGGCTTGTGGGAAGAAGCTTCACTGTAGCCTAGATGTCCTGATCCCCGTCTGGCTGAAGCGCTGGCCTGAGGGAAGGAGCTGGAACAGGTGGTGTCCGTAGCCAGTATTACTACGGTTTACTTCCTAATAAAGTGCTGGGTGAGTGTATAACACCCTAAAACAGAAACATATATCATCATCATGATCTATTTTTCTCTATTTCACCCCCCCCATCTAGTATTAATCCTGTCTCAGTGGTCAAACTGTTAGAAGTCTTCTCTCCTTGATGCTGTGATCCTGAGGCCTCCAGGGCAGCTTTATATGCAGGTGTAATGCTGGACTTCTGTCTGCTTGAGTAGAGTTATTCATATCACTGCAGCTGTTTCGTGCACATACACATTTGCCTGCTGTATTTCCAGTGGTGTTATTTTCATACACTTACATTCAGCACTAAACATGTGTGTAAACAGTGACAGTTCTATTTGCATTGTAGCCGCAGTGCGTGCTCTCACTGGCAAAGCAGGAGGAAGCAGGAAGTGTCTTGTGAGCCTCTTTTAAATGTGTGATTGGCACATAGTTATTAGAACAAGCGTGAAACTTTTTGGGATTGGCCACTTCCAGCTGAGGGGGGCGTTGGCAGCTTGATCGTTGCATTCTTTGGTGTTCTAGACAGGCCTATTCAAAACACCCTGCCTGAACTGTTAGAAATGTACTGTATGTAAACAGTCTCTGGTTTGAAGGGGAATTCCACTGAATTTTCCAAAGTTTCTGCATCACTAAAAGGGCTCATACAATTGAATTTAAAGTCCAAACACCAACTCAATTACATATATCCTCTTCTTCAGCCCACAGCAGTTAGCCCCGCCCATTCACATTGAAGGTAAAAGCAGTGTTTCTGCCCATACATGCTTTTTTTTGGGCAGCCAATCAAATCAGAGCTCATTTACATACATTAGTCTTAAAAGCACAGTATGATAAACAGCCTGTTTAATTCTAAGGGATAAAGAGAGGTTAAAAGATGGTCATGAAAAAATAAATGACAACAGGTGTTGGTACATAAACCCAAACAGATGTTATGTAACGCAAAATACATGTAGGATAAAGGTGGGTTTCATGGTTAAGATGTAAACAAAGTCATTCAGAGTGGTTTGGTGTGAAATGCTCCATTCTAGAAAATTTACAGAGTCAGAATTGTTCACAGTGGTGGTGATAGGAACCAGACGTCCCCCTCTAAAAGCTCCCTAACAGAGAGTTTTTACATGAAATAGTTTTGAATACACTGCCTGATACCTGAGACCGTCTTTTATGATAGTTTTAGAAGGTTTTGGCCTAAAGTGTATATGTAAAAGCCATTGCCGGGCGCTGTGGGGCCAAAATTAAATAATTTTTGATTTTCATTTTGGATAGTAAATAAAATGGCTATATTTGAGTTGTAGTCATGGTGATCCCTGGTTCCTATCACCACCACTGTAAAGACATCTGAGTCTCTACAATGAACCATTTCACACCAAACCACTCTGAATGACCCTATTTACATCTAAATAATGAATTATGCAGACATTTTGCAGATATGTCAGTGGGTTTAATGTTTTTTAATGGTTGTTTGTAGTGCTGGCCACTATAACGGTCTGTAATAGTGTACCAGTTTTTTTGTGACGCAACAATATTGATTTTTTGTTTTAGTGGTATTGATTTTGCAACTTATCCGCAATAACATTCCAGTCTATTAAGCAGTGGTTTCCCCGTTTCCACTCCAGAAGAAATGCACTCTGTAAGGATCCCTTTGGTGTAATTTCAAGAGAGCTGAACAGTCCAATCAAAACATGCTATGTCAGGTTTATAAGTGCTCAGGAAATATGGGTTCATTAACTTTTTTCATCGCTGGTCATCTGATACTGTGAAACTGTGATGTCCAAAAGTTTGTAGACACCAGCGTTTCTGAAGGGTATTAATAGGGAGTTTGTGCTGCAGTAACAGCCTCTACTTTTCTGGGAAGGCTATACAATAGATGTTGGAACATTGCTGTGAGGATCTGATTGAGCATTAGTGAGGTCAGGTACTGATGTTGGATGGTCAGATCTGGATCACTCCAACTCATCACAAAGGTACTGGATGGAGCTCCACCACTCCAGATAACGCAGTCCCACTGCTCCACAGCCCAATGCTGGGGGGGGCTTTATACCCCTCTAGTCGACCTTAGGTGACCTTAGTCTTCTTTTTTGGATGCTCTAGGGCAGGGGTGTCAAACTCGGCCATTAAAAGGGGCCATATTAAAAAACCACAGCAAATCTGTGGGTCACAGAAAAAATGTTTTTGTTTCATTTTAATTAATGTTGTGCTAAAACCCGAACTGGCCATTGTTTATTCAAAATACACAACTTAAGCAGTATAACATACACCAATCAGCCATAACATTATGACCATTATCCTTGTTTCTACGCTCATTGTCCATTTTATCAGCTCCACTTACTATATAGGTGCACTTTGTAGTTCTACAGTTACAGACTGTAGTCCATCTGTTTCTCTGCATACTTTGTTAGCCCCCTTTTACCCTGTTCTTCAGTGGTCAGGACCCCCATGGACCCTCACAGAGCAGGTACTATTTGGGTGGTGGATCATTCTCAGCACTGCAGTAACACTGATGTGGTGGAGGTGTGTTAGTGTGTGTTGCGCTGGTCTGAGTGGATCAGACACAGCAGTGCTGCTGGAGTTTTTAAACACTGCGTCCACTCACTGTCCACTCTATTAGACACTCCTACCTTGTCAGTCCACCTTGTAGATGTAAAGTCAGAGACGATAGCTCATCTGCTGATGCACAGCTTGTGTTGGTCATCCTCTAGTCCTTCATCAGTGGTCACAGGACGCTGCCCACAGGACGCTGTTGGCCGGATATTTTTGGTTGGTGGACTATTCTCACTCCAGCAGTGACACTGAGGTGTTTAAAAACTCCAGCAGCACTGCTGTGTCTGATCCACTCGTACCAGCACAACACACACTAACACACCACCACCATGTCAGTGTTACTGCAGTGCTGAGAATGATCCACCACCCAAATAGTACCTGCTCTGTGAGGGTCCATGGGGGTCCTGACCACTGAAGAACAGGGTAAAAGGGGGCTAACAAAGTATGCAGAGAAACAGATGGACTACAGTCTGTAACTGTAGAACTACAAAGTGCACCTATATAGTAAGTGGAGCTGATAAAATGGACAATGAGCGGAGAAACAAGGAGGTGGTCATAATGTTATGCCTGATCGGTGTAGACATTTGTAGTAGACATTGAAATATTAAATAAATACTTGAAATATTCAAAATTTTAAATGTCGCCAGTCTTTTAGACCTACCTATTTGCTTGAACTAGACACCTGACATCCTTTCTTTACTGCGAGTTCATCAATACTTGGGCTCAGTTTCTGAGCTGCTGAGCTGATGTTGGGTGTTTATATTGGTTGTACTGCAGCTAAAATGCAGTTAGTGTGTTTGGTGATATGACTGGTGTGGAACTGTGTAGAATTGAGGTGAAACTGCTGCCCCATCAATTGTTATTGGGGTAGGAGAGTCAGAGCGCACATTACGTTGCAGTGCATGCTGGGGACTGTAGTACAGCACATTGTGAAACGGGCTAATATTAATAGAAAATTAAAATACTTCTGCGGGCCGGATCGGACTGTGTGGCGGGCCTGATCTGGCCCACAGGCCTTGTTTTTGACACATGGGCTCTAGAGCGCCCTTATTTTATTGATCAATGCTTTTGTATGGAGATCATACAAGCTGCGTCAGCAATGGGTGCCCCTTAAAGCAGCTGAATTCACTCATTAGAAGGCATTTAATAAATATTGTCCAGCATTAGTCATTTATTTCTCTCTCTCCGACAGATCAGGATGTCCAGTGAGGTCCAGCCGAGGCCGGACGACAGTCCAAACACGAGTGGAGGCAGTTCCGACGCTGAACAGAGAGAGGTAGCACCTGTGGAGCAGCCAGAGGAGAGGGAGCGAGAGAGAGATCCGGCTCCACCAAAGAAGAAAGAGGCCAAGATCTCCAGCAAGACCGCTGCTAAGCTCTCCACCAGTGCCAAGAGGTGGGCCACAGCTCTTTTTAGGCCTTTTTCAGGGAGTAAATGAGCTTGTCCCCTTGTCAAACGTTGTAGAAAGGGTATTATTATGGTCGTTTTATGTTTAACAGATGTTTAAATTTCCATTATTGGTTTGAAGTGGTTGAGATTTATGTAGTCTGTCTCTGTGGAACGCAGCTATTGCACCAGTTACAGATTACGGAGTAGCTCTTTGGTTTCTTTAGTGGTTGCCAGTCCAGTGGGACTGCAGTCTTTGGTGGGAAAGATTGGACAGTAAGAGTCATTCTGCTGTTCATGACACATGTACCAATTCTGATGTCCATCTAGTCGTCCGATATGCAGATCATTATACTGAACTGGTTCAAAGTCAGAGTCAGACTTTTAACTGACTTTTGCTTTGAATGACCCTTAATTATGTTTATTCTATTAAAAAATGATTGAATATTCCATTTTGTCTCTACCACAACAATCATAACACTACCGAAACATAGCAAAAGTTTCAGTAGTGACTGTTTCAGTAGTGACAGCTTTAGCTATTTTTGAGCAGAACTCAAAAACACAGCCAGTACATGACCAGCAAACACAGCTTTGAAATCAATTTAAAAGCATCATTTTTTTCATGAAAAACACAAAAAAACTTACTTGCAGAAAATATGTGACAATTCTTAATTCTTAATTTTACACTGATTTTCAGTCTTTGGGACACATTTGCTTCAAATCAATGGGATCTAACTGCTCACCATGTGGCCATGAGGGACAGGGATGCAGCCTCACTTTGTGCTCTAAAATGCAGGGGTGTGGCTAAAATAAGACTAAAGTCAAAACATTTTTTTTTTAAATAATTTTTCTTTTTATTCAAAAATTAAACTCATAATAAATGTAAATCTTCCAACTTCACGGTAAAAGAAACTCAAAATAGGTTAAATATCCTGGTGTGTTTTGGTTGTGTTTAGTGTGGATTGTTTGTTCTTGATGTGGTTTGGTTGTTTTTTGGTGTGTTTTGGAAGTTCTTGGTGTGGTTTAGTTGTTTTTGGTGTGTTTTGGTAGTTGTTGGTGTCTCTTGTAGTTCTTTGTGTGTTTTGGAAGTTCTTGGTGTGGTTTAGTTGTTTTTGCTGTGTTTAGGGTGGTTTATTTGTTCTTGGTGTGGTTTGGGTGTTTTTGGTTGTGTTTAGGGTGGTTTATTTGTTCTTGGTGTGGTTTGGTTGTGTTTTTGGTTGTGTTTAGGGTGGTTTATTTGTTCTTGGTGTGGTTTGGTTGTGTTTTTGGTGTGTTTTGGTAGTTGTTGGTGTCTCTTGTAGTTCTTTGTGTGTTTTGGAAGTTCTTGGTGTGGTTTAGTTGTTTTTGGTGTGTTTAGGGTGGTTTGTTTGTTCTTGGTGTGGTTTGGGTGTTTTTGGTTGTGTTTAGGGTGGTTTATTTGTTCTTGGTGTGGTTTGGGTGTTTTTGGTTGTGTTTAGGGTGGTTTATTTGTTCTTGGTGTGGTTTGGGTGTTTTTGGTGTGTTTTGGTAGTTGTTGGTGTCTCTTGTAGTTCTTTGTGTGTTTTGGAAGTTCTTGGTGTGGTTTAGTTGTTTTTGGTGTGTTTAGGGTGGTTTGTTTGTTCTTGGTGTGGTTTGGGTGTTTTTGGTTGTGTTTAGGGTGGTTTATTTGTTCTTGGTGTGGTTTGGTTGTGTTTTTGGTTGTGTTTAGGGTGGTTTATTTGTTCTTGTATCGCTACTTAATAAAACAATAAGGTAGCTAAAGCTTAACCATGTGAAGTAGCTCTATATATATATATATTTTTTCCCCCATTTCGCCCTCCTCTTTACCACTGCTGCTCTCTCAGTGGGAAGGTTGGCTTAGTTCCTCTTTTACAGCAGTGCTGGCCACTCGTGGGTGTCCACCAGCCCACATACACAGAATTAGGAACTCTGTACTTTCCTATAAGTGTGTTCAGCTGCCCTGCAGCGCTGCTTGAGCAGCAGTTTGAAAAGATGCAGTTGTCCGGAGGAAGCACCTGCCCACCTCGTACAGCAGGTGGGAATTAACAACAACTAAAGTTGGAGAGATAACTGGGCAGGCCTTTTTAAATTAGCCTAAATTTGGGGTGGTCAAGTAATTGCTCTATTACTAAAATAATCTGCCAATAATTTTGCTGCTTGATCATTTAAGCAGAGTTAGAGATGGCACGGTGCCACATTCGCTGTTCCTGTTCTGATACCGGTATTAAAACCAGAGTATTGGCTGTTATTGAAACTCAAACACTCTGTTAACCCCACAGTAAGAACTACACAGCTTAACAGCATCACGTCTCAGAGTGTGAGTGAGTGCTGTTTCAGGACAGACCTGTTACAGGATTGGATCATATTTATTCTTTTATTATCTCCCATATGAGATCCAGCATTTTCTGCAGATATCGGCCTGATACTGATTCCATGGATACCAGTGTGCCGTCTCTCATATTCAGATCTTACTCGAACAGAGACGCAGGAGACTGTAAGATGTGCATCGTCATCTCTCAAAATCTGATTCTTTGAGAAAAAACATTTTCTTTGATTAATTATTTTAAAAAATTAAGGGGAACGTCACCATTTTTTTTCAGAGTTTTTGCGTAGTTAAATTGTTAATATGTAAACAGTCATTCAGAGCGGTTTGGTGTGAAATGCTTCGTTTTGGAGTCAGAATTGTTCGCAGTGGTGGTGATGGGAGCCAGACGTCCACTTCTAATAGGTCCCTCACAGAAAGTTACTACATGAAATGGTTGTGAATTCACTGCCTGATGCCTGAGAAAGTGTAGCGCTTTCGCCTCACAGCAAGAAGAGCCTGGGTTCGATTCCCTGGCCAGGCGACCGGGGTCCAGACCATAGTTCGCATGTTCTCCCACAGTCCAAAGACATGCAGTCTAAATTGGCCCAAGGTGAGTGTGTGTGTGTGTGTGTGTGTTAGTGGCTGAGAGGCACATGCAGGTCAAAAAGAAAAGATATACCAGATATATTCAGATATAAGAGAACGCATCTAGGTTCACTGGTGGTTTTGGATAGTAAATAAAATGGATATATCTGTGTTGTAGTCGTGGCGACCCCTGGTTCCTATCACCACCATTGTAAAGTAGTCTGAACCATGCAGGTCGTAAGTCAGTTTTTCCAAGGGGAGCAGCGCTGCAGCTGGGGAAAGCACAAGTGGACATTTCATCACAAGCTCAGTTCAGTGAGGCTGCTGTGAAATGTGAGGCAGAGGGCAGTGTAACGGGCCTCCCCCTCGAGCTCTTAATCATTACTCCAGCCCTCAGACCAGCCACGGAAATGTGCCACCTCAGGAAAAAACTGCTATCAAATTACACAGCATGCAGTCAGGCTCGCATACAGAGCTGTAACCGGAGGCGTCTTATTACTGTTTGGCATCGAGTGCCCCCCGCTTTCCTTGCGGCTCACCCACCGCTGTCATTCCCCTGCAGGCGATTATTGGTTCAGGTGCAGGTGCGTCTGGACCGTTCCCCGTCGGCTTTGCGGCGGCGTGTCTGTGTGTGGGCCGGGCGTCCTCCCAGGATTTGGAGATGAGTCTCAAATGATGTGCCTGGTTCCTGCTGGGAGGTGCTGTCAAACTGAAGCTCTCACTCCCGGTGACTCTGCGGCGATACTTACAGGGATTTTGTTCTCAATGACGCACCGGTGCTCTGTTTAAAGGGGTTTACAAGCCAGCTGGGCAGTTCAGTCAATGGTTATTGCAGATTTAATGGTTATTTTTATATGTGAACCTACAGTCTTATGGAAAATGCTGCAAATATCCAATATTATAGATAGATAGATTGATAGATGGATAGATAGATGACTTTATTGATCCAGAAGGAAAGTTGTGTATTTATCTCGAATATTTTCATATTTTGTAAGAATGAGAAAACCTTAAGCTGTTTCACTTTAATGACATTGAAAAATGTATTATTTATATACTAATTATTTTTATTATCATAATACAAGTATTTTAATTACTTACATAATTCTTGTTGTTAATTAACATTTTATACTGTTGAATAAATTCTGTGTATTTATTTATTTTGCTTTTTAAAAGGAGCTTAAATATTACAAATTCTTGACAAATATCACCCATAAACACTTATTCTCCTAGCGAGTAGGTAAAATGTTAATCCTGGGGAATTCTGCCCAATCTGGCAACACTGGTTGTTTGTGCTGTCCGAATGTTTCGAAACTGTGTTTTTTAACAATCGTCTTTAAACAAAAAAAGTGATAAAGCTTTTAAGCTGTTCAAGGCCTCTTTGTACTGTAGCACACCCCAAACTCGGCCACATCTGCTTTAAAACAACTGAGAACATTTAAGCAGAACAGTAGGAAACTATTCGGACTGCACATGGAGTCAAAGGAGGATTTCACAGATTTATCAAAATTTCTGTATAATTCAGTGTTTGAGATGTAAACAAAGTCATTCAGAGTGGTTTGGTGTGAAATGGTTCAGATCTCTTTACAGTGGTGGTGATAGGAACCAGGGGTCGCCATGACTACAACACAAATATAGACCTTTTATTTACTATCCAGAACCACCAGTGAACCTACACGAGTCTTCTGAGTTTATATGGAATGATGATGATGGAAAATAGTGGTTTCTTTGGGAACTATTTTGTTTATACCTCCCTGCAAATACCTCTCTGCCCATAATCCTGTCTCAAAACTATCGTAAAACAGTGTCTCAGATATCAGGCAGTGAATTCATAACCAATTCATGTATAACTTGCTGTGAGGGAGCTTTTAGAGGTGGACGTCTGGTTCCTATCACCACCACTGTGAACAGTTCTGACTCGGTAAGTTTCTCTAGAATGG